TCAGTCACGGGATATTCAACTCTTGTTTACGTAAACTTAATTAAAATGCAATTCTCCATTGTATTGCATTGTAATTGAGTTTAATTAAACTCCAATTAAAACACAACCGTATATAGGAACGCGTTTTAATCGAGTTCATATCGCAACTATATTAAAAGTTAATTCAACTATATTAAAAGTTAATCCAATGAAGTCCTCGGAACATATAGCAATACAAGTAAGTGTGTGTGTGTGTGTGTGTGTGTATGTGTGCAGCTTGAAATGGAATTTTTTTTTTTTGCAATATGAAATCACACATAGAACTTACTCCTACAAGAAACAGGCCGTGCCAAACTGGTCGTCTTTTGAGAAATCAACAAAATAATCGTACTGTAATGTTAGATTTATTTACATGTTTGGAATTAAATATTTAAAATAGCAACTGCCATCCACTGTACATACAATGTTCAAAACATAAGAAATTCTAAACCATTCTAAAGTCACGCATCATGAAAAAGTTACTTACTGACAATCCAAGTGATGCTGCAGCAAGTTCTTTTTTACCAAGATGACCACAAAATATGATATTCATGACATTAAATGACCCGAAAGCAATGGTAAATATAATCTACAAAATTGAGAAAAGATGTTCTATACAAAGAATTAAGGTCAAGGAAGTTGATAATTTTGTTATATTTTTGGCAACATTTACACATGTTTGTGAAAATATTGTATTTTTGGATGACCTATTATTAAAATACACATAATATACTATTCAATAAATGTAAATGACTTTATAACTTCATTTGCATATTGTGATAAATACTGTGAATACATTAATTATTCACTGCCTTTTATGTTCTCTATTTTCGCTGAAGTAAGATTTGCAAAATTTAATCCGTATTAATAGGTGAAACAATAATAGAACTCGTTGTTTCCATGACAAATTTTTAAAACCCAGTGACTATATGCACAAAATATCAAAATAATGAAATTAAATGTCAGTGAAAATAAATGGTGACTCGACAGCAAATGTTACTCAACGTCAAATAACTGTAGCATAATCTGCAGCGCATTAATCACAGTTGCATTGGTTACCATGGAGACCACACAGAAAACATAATTAAAAAGTGGTGAACCAATTTTTAATGGTATTTTACATAAACATGTTTTAAAATAGTCAATTATAAATTTATTTCCTACAACAACCAGAAAATTAAAATATTTTGAAATATAGTCACAGATTTGTACTGCTAATTTGTAAATTACATGAATTTTTCAATCAAAAGTATACTGCTGTCTATAACGCGGAGTGCCTGTATAAAACAACAGTAGACAGGTTGCTGGCTAGAAACAACAGTACACATCTGCACAAATTCAATCAACAAGTTACTGTACTGATATTAAACGTGTCTGTACTTACAGTAGTCCATGCTAATTTAAAGATTTCTTTAAATTCTCTTCTCCATGATGCCAAATTACCATGACAACAATTTTTGCATCTTAGATCTTTGTATGTTGATAGTATTGAATCTTCTTCCATATTATATTTGTCTTATATTCTAGATCAAAATGTAGAAAGCATTGAAAATACATTTAGTACAAAGTAGATTCACGCTAATTTTATAAATATTTAGATTTCAATAGAAAGAATTATGATCAGAGAATGTATACTAATTCTATTAGTATATCTTGTACTGTAAAATATATTTTACCAAGAATTAATTTTCACTATAAAGACTTTTTTCGGTATTTTGTATGGAATTAATTTTTTTACTGATTTGTGAAAAAAGTATATTCGCTTGATTTTATTTCACTGAATCATCCAATCAGTGAAAATAGAGAAAGTTAATTCCAATCGAAAAATATTAAAGATATTTTACAGTATATGATTTCCAAAACAGTCGGCCATTTTGAATGACATGCATCAAAGTCATATAATATCCAATGTATGTACTAAGTTTGAACAAAATCCATTCATAAATGACCAAGAACTGATTCCGGAATGCCAAAAATGCTTGATTGTTGGTGATTTTTTAACAAAAAATTCATCACAATTCGGTCATTTAGAATCGGATTATCAAATCAATAAGTCTGTATATCTATGAGATGATGTATAATATGAAATATGATGTATAATGAAATTTTAACATAATCAGTCAAAGCATGACAGAGATATGGCACTAGAACCACAATATTAAAACAAAATGGCCACCAGTTGGCCATTTTGAATCTCATCTGAAAAAAAACATGTCGTCCAACAAGGTCAGATAATATCTAATGTATGTATCAAGTTCAAACAAAATCCATCTGTATACAGTCGAGAAATGTTTGATTTTGATGATTTTTCACGACAAAAATGGCTGCCATTTGGCCATTCATTAATTAAAATCATTAACATGGTCACCAGTTGGCTATTTTGAATCTTATCTGAAAAACAAAATGACATGCAACCAAGTTTGAACAAAATCTATCTGTAAACAGTCAAGAAGTGCTTGATTTTGATGATCTTTCAGTACAAAAATGGCCGCCATTCGGCCATCTTGAATCAGACAGTGAAACAATATTATGTATGATGTATGTGCATGTCCAAGATACAGGTCCAATCACACAAACGAATGCACATACACAAGGACGCGCAGAGGTCAATCAATAAGTCCTTGTTTTCGGACTGCGTCCGAACGGGAACTAAAAACCAGTCCTGTAATTACATTCTAACATTACTGTGCCAAAGTAAAAAATTTGATCCAATTTATAGAAAAAATACATAAATTGTGTTTACCGCCAACATATTTGCAGAAAAAAAAAATATTGCATTTGAAGGGGTATACAGATAGGTATAAAACAACATTTACAGCTAGTATATTTGCATAGGTAACTTAGACAGACAAGAATGTTACAGCTAGTATATTTGCATAGGTAACTTAGACAGACAAGAATGTTACAGCTAGTATATTT